AGGGCAAGCGGGCACAAATGGGATTCGCGTTTGGCCGGTGCAAACGCGTGCCGTACATAGTACATACAATAGACCTTATATACACAGTAGAATAGGGGTAGATAAGGGCGCGGGTATCCGTCGGGGGGCGGGACCTGTGGCGCTCGTTCCGCGAGCTCGCCATCTTGACGCCAGGATTCCAACACTACGCACCTATGATCGTCCGAGTCAAGTCGTAGACAAGCCCGAGCACGATGTGGTGGACTCCTGCACATTTGTTACAATTGGTTAGGTGACAAGCAGTACAACAAGAGCACCCAAGGTATGTGACAAGCACTCGCTGGACGTCGTGAGGTTCACCAATCACATCCGCGACTCCACAGTGAGAGCTCTTGCTTCAGCGATGAATTGCGCACAAGCTGGACAAAGGCATCGTGCGCATAGTTGTCAAAACAGGAGCAAGGTTGCACCCTGCGTCCTCATCGCGGCCTCCCGGCAGGACAAGGGCACGCAATCTTGCCAGCCAGGACAGTGGAATGTGTACGATCGTCAACTAATGCTAATGTTGGCGTGCCACTCTCCGATGGTAGACGCAATGAGCCATAGACTTCGTGCTCCACAGAGGTAGCAGACCTCAGTGGAGCCAATCACTGCAAGTGGTAAGTTGTGCGCGTGCGAAGGAACTGGGGCAACCGGCCGGAAGGCTGGTGGTGTTTGTACGCATATGGCAGACTTTTTAACGAAGACAACAAAGCTGCTGCTCCCAGAAATCGAGCGTATCGGTCCATCCCGACGGAAGAGGAGACATTGTAGACTAGTTCTGGTTAGAGAGTTGATGTTTCCTGTGCATGAAGTAGACGGCTGTGAAGAAATGAGGACGCCGCATCGTTCACAAGGTCGTCATAAGTTTTTGAGATCTGTCAAGGCTAGTAAAGTATGTTGAACAGTTAGCCAAGTAGCAAGTGAATAGACCGTATTACATCGGTCTCCGGGGCTCTCACCCGCGACGTTAGATGCCAATCAGGAGTGCGTGAAACATTGTGTTGTCAAGCTAGTTCAGTTGCACGCTTGCAGCCCAAGGAGAGTATCGTCCACTCACGACTCGTCAGATCTCTCTGAGTGTGTATATGTGTTGGACATGCCGTCAGGTCCTTTTGTGGGCCTTCAGGGGGAGAACAGTCACAGAGGTCGCTTGCAGGGCCCATCAGTAGCGAAGTTCGAGTTATGAGCTTCGTCGGTAGAGCAGTGACCTAACATCAGATTCGTCGTATAGCTGTATTCCAAAACGGCAGAATGTAGTCTTCTGTTCAAGAATGGGTGATAACAGTGTTCGATGACCCTTGGGGTGTTTTGGTTGTCGTTGTATGTCTTCAGGAGCATCATAGACGTTCTGTACGGGAAGCCTTTCAAAAAGTTCGGAAGCAGCACGAGATTTTTAGAGAGGCAAACGTATCTCACAGGCATTCTGAGAAAAGCTTGCGTTCGTCTCAAAATTTCTTGGAAGTATGCTAGTGATCGAGGAAGCGTTTATGTCCCGTCTGTGTCTAACTTACTGTATTGTATCATATTGATGAAAAGCCACATCAATGGAAATAGCGGCCCAAGAACCCGACAAGAGGCCCGTGGAGTCATGCATCGGGAGATCAGGAGCTCAATGAACATTTCAAATGCACATGGGGAATCAAAAGGTGTTTTGGACAATGATTATTGTCCAGGGTCTATGACAGCGTAACTCGTGCCACCCCCTCGCCGCTTTACATCTGCTTTGTCTCTAGTAGTATATAGGTTAAGGGCTCGCAGCCCAGGATCCTCGTCCCCTCGCCCTTCGGGAGCTCGCGCTCCTCGAGCTTTCGTTTTTGCACCCACCCTTCCGCTGCCCCATTTTTGGTCTCGCTTAGCTACGTCTCATGTATCAGGTACATTCGCCTTCCGCCGGCTTG